TATGGTGGAGTGTCTCAATGGCCATTGGGGATTTGATGCTGAGGAGCGTCATAGCGCTGGGCTGGGAAACTGTTAATGGGCGCCAGGTCTGGTCCCATCGCAGAAAGGAGTCAGATGGCCATGGCGATAGCTCTTTACCTTATTATGTAAACCTGGCTGCCCTCTAGCATTTCTTCTGTTGACCTCCCTGACAGGTGTCACTCATTGCTGACTTTGCCATGAGGGTTCACCATCTTTGTCTCTGCCCCAAATCCTGTTATCACCCTGGGCCACTCCGATGTCCTGTCGATGACCCATTCACCACCTCTGCCTTCCCATCCGTACAGCCCATTACCTCCGTCCCACCTCCCACGTCTGCGGTGTGTTTGGACTTTGTCACCATCCAGCACTGCTCACCTGTGAGATGACAGATTCGTGCTGTCCTTTGCGGATCACAGCCTCGTGGCTGCAGCACTCGGTGTTCCTCTGTAACCGTACCTTTCTCGAACTTTTCTCTCGCCGCGATCCACACACAGCTCCATTTGCACACTTGTTCTGTTGCACCCTCCTAAGAACCCCCCAGCATCGTGTGGAATCAACTCCCCATCTCTGTGCCTTCACCCAGGTGCTGAGCGCTGCTGGGCATAGCTGAGCCACTAAGGGCACGTGCCGCCTCAGCCAGCCCTCTCCTACACCCTCAGTGCTCTGCGTTTCACCAGTCAGTTCTCACCCCACTTCTTATCATAACAACTTTTTAAGTTTTGCACTCTTCCCAGTACCCACCCCTGAGCAGAGAAACCAGAGAAAATGGAATAATAGCCAAACTTGATAGTGTGCCAGGCCCTGTTATAAGCACTCCCTATATTTTTTATTAAGTAATTATTTTTGTTACAGATGTTTCTCCTTTTTCCCCCACTGATTCCCCCCTTCCCTCCCTCCCTGCCCTGTCCCCAGCTTTGTTGTCCATGTCCATTGTTCATGCATACAGGCATATAAGTTCTGTGGTTTATCTCTCCCCCACCACCCCCTCTTCTGGGAATTGTCAGTCTGTACCTCACTTCCACGTCTCTGGGACTACCCCATTCCTCAGACTGTTATGTTCATCATATTCCACAAATAAGTGAGATCATATAATATTTGTCTTTCCCTGTTTGGCTTGTTTCACTTAGGATAATACTTTCCAGGTCTCTCCCTCTATGTCATCTCAAAGGATAAGAGATCTTTCTTTCTTACAGCTGCATAGTACTCCATTGTGTACATGTACCACAACTTCTTTATCCATTCGTCTACTGATGGACACTTGGGCTGTTTCCAGATCTTAGCTATTATAAATAGTGCTGCTACAAACATGGGGGTACATATATTCTTTCTGATTGGTGTTTCAGGCTTCTTAGGGTATATTCCTAGAAGTGGGATCACTGGGTCAAATGGAAGTTCAATTTTTAATTTTTTGAGGTAACACCATATTGTTTTCCATAGTGGCTGCACCAGTCTGCATTCCCACCAGCAGTGTACTAGAGTCCCTTTTTCTCCACACCCTCACCAACACTTGTTTGATGATTTGTTGATGGTGGCCATTCTGACAGGTGTGACGTGATACCTCATAGTCATTTTAATTTGCATCTCTCTAATGATCAGTGATGTTGAGCACTTCTTCATATGTCTCTTAGCCATTTGTATGTCCTGTTTGGAGAGGTGTCTATTTAGTTGCTCTGCCCATTTTTTAATTGGGTTCTTTGTCTTCCTTTTGTTGAGTTGTATGAGCACTCTCTATATATTGGAAATTAACCCCTTATCTGATATATCATTGGCAATTATGCTCTCCTATACAGTGGGTAGCCTTTTCGTTTTGATGATTGTATCTTTCGCTGTGCAGAAGCTTTTGAGTTTGATGTAGTCCCATGTGTTCATTTTCTCTTTTGTTTCTATTGCCTTAGGTGTTGTATCAGTGAAAATTCTGCTGCATATGATGTCTGAAATTTTGTTGCCTACATTTTCTTCTACGATTTTTATGGATTCACGGGTCACATTTAAGTCTTTTATCCATTTTGAGTTTATTCTTGTGTAGGGTGCAAGTTGATGGTCTAGTTTCATTTTTTTGCATGTAGCTGTCCAATTTTCCCAGCACCATTTATTAAAGAGGCTGTCCTTACTCCACTGTATGCTCTTGCCACCTTTGTCAAATATTAATGGAGCATTTTGCCTTGGGTCCATTTCTGGGTTCTTTGTTCTGTTCCACTGGTCTACATGCCTGTTCTTGTGCCAGTACCAGGCTGTTTTGATTACAGTGGCTTTGTAGTATAACCTGAAATCTGGTAATGTGATCCCTCCAACTTTGTTCTTCTTTTTCAAGATTGCTGTGGCTATTCGAGGCCTTTTTTGGTTCCATATGAACTTTTGAAGTATTTGTTCTAATTCTGTGATATATGCCGTTGGTATTTTGATGGGGATTGCATTGAATCTATAGATTGCTTTGGGTAGTAAGGACATTTTAATGATGTTAATTCTTCCAATCCATGAACAGGGTATGTGCTTCCACTCTTTTATATCTTCCTCTATTTCTTTTTTCAATAACCTGTAGTTTTCTGCGAATAGGTCCTTTATTTCTTTGGTTAAGTTTATTCCTAGGTATCTCAATTTTTTGCTGCAATGGTAAATGGGATTGTTTTCTTAGTTTCTTTTTCTGTGAGTTCATCATTGGTGTATAAGAATGCCATCGATTTCTTGACATTAATTTTGTATCCTGCTACTTTTCCAAATTCATTTATTAAGTCTAGTACATTTTTGATGGAGTCTTTGGGGTTTTCTACGTATAGTATCATGTCATCTACGAATAATGACAGTTTCACCTCCTCCTTTCCAATTTGGATCCCTTTTATTTTTTCTTCCTGTCTGTTTCTAGTACTATGTTAAATACGAGTGGCGAAAGTGGACATCCTTTCCTTGTTTCTGTTCTTAAGGGAAATGCTTTTAGTTTCTGCCCATTGAATATGATGTTGGCTGTAGGTCTTTCATATATGACCTTTATTATGTCGAGATATGATCCCTCTATTCCCACATTGCTGAGTGTTTTTATCAGAAATGGATGCTGGATTTTGTCGATGGCTTTTTCGGCATGTATTGATATGATCATGTGGTTTTTATTCTTCATTTTATTTATGTGGTGTATCACGTTTATTGATTTGCGAATATTGTACCAGCCTTGCATCCCTGGGATGAATCCCACTTGGTCATGGTGAATAGTTTTTTTGGTGTATTGCTGGATTCGATTTGCTAGTATTTTGTTCAGGATTTTGGCGTCTATGTTCACCAGGGATATTAGTCTGTAGTTTTCTTTCTTTGTAGTGTCTTTTTCTGGTTTTGGAATTAGAATTATGCTGGCCTCATAAAACGAGTTTGGAAGTCTTCCTTCTTCTTGAATTTTTTGAAATGGTTTGAGGAGAATGGGTGTTAGTTCTTCTTTGAATGTTTGGTAAAACTTCCCCATGAAGCCATCCGGGCCTGGACTTGTGTTTGCTGGGAGAGTCTTGATTACCTCTTCAATTTCCTTAGTTGTTATTTGTCTGTTCAAGTTTTCTATCTCTTCCTGGTCCAATTTTGGGAGACTGTGTGTTTCTAGAAATATGTCCATTTCGCTTAGATTGTCGAATTTGTTGCCATATAGTTGTTCATAGTAGTTTGTGAATGATCTTTTGTATTTCTGTGGTGTCAGTTGTTACTTCTCCTCTTTTATCTTTGATATTGTTTATTTGAGTTTTCTCTCTTTGTTACTTGGTGAGTCTAGCTAAGGGTCCATCAATCTTGTTTTGTTCTGTTTTTTTCGAAAAACCAGCTCTTTGTTTCATTGATCCTTTGAATTTTTTTTTTCTGTTTTTGGGGGACTCTATGTCGTTTATTTCTGCTCTGATCTTTACTATTTCCTTCCTTCTACTTGCTCTGGGTTTTTGTTTGTTTGTTTGTTTGCTCTCTAGTTCTTTAAGTTTTGAGGTTAGTAGCCTATTAGAGATTTTTCTTGTTTTTTGAGGTAGGCCTGTAGTGCTATGAACTTCCCTCTCAGAACTGCTTTCGCTGCATCCCATAGATTTTCTGTTGTTGTGTCTTCATTTTCATTAGTTTCCAGGAATTTTTAAATTTCTTCCTTGATCTCCTTGGTAACCCATTCATTGTTTAATAACATGCTATTTAGCTTCCATGTGTTCCAATGTCTTTGCATGTTCTTCTTGTGATTGATTTCTAGTTTCATGCCATTGTGATCTGAGAAGATGCTTGATATGATTTCAGTTTTTTTGAACTTGTAGTGACTTAGTTTGTGTCCTAACATGTGGTCTATCTTTGAGAATGTCCCATGTGCACTTGAGAAGAATGTGAATTCCGTAGCACTCCCTAGATATTAATCCACATAGTTATCACAGCAACTCTCTGAGGTCCTTGGTACATCAATGGCACCAAGATGGGAAATACTCTGGCCACGGTCACACAGTTAGGAATGCGTGGCCCCTGGCAGTGCAGTGCAGTGCAGTGCTTCTCAAATTTTGTTGTGAAAATAATTACTCATTGATTCTGTTGAAAGTGCAAATTCTGGCATCTTCCCCTACCTCTCTTGGACCCTGAAACTCTGACTTAGTCATTTGGGGACAAGCCTGGATGTCTGCATTTTGTAGTAGTCTAACAGATGATTCTGATGTAAGTGGTTCTCGGGCCTTATTCTGAAAAACACGAGCTATTGTCAATGTGTTTCTCAGGTCACAGTACTTGGAGGAAAATCTGAAGGTGTGGGACTCAGGATAGACAAGTTCTGATGAGCCGAAAAGAGAGGCGTGTCCTGGTGCATGCCTTACCAGGACAGTCTGGCAGGACCCCGGCAAGTTCCCTTGACATATCGCATCCTCTGGGACACGAGCTTGTACATTTTAGAATTTGGAGAGGAAAACATTGCAATGAACGTTGACTGCAAAGCAGCACCCAGGTAACTAAGGATTGGCTGAAATGTTTTCTCCCTGCCCTTCGTTTGCAGAAGAAAGTGTGGAACTGGTTATGAAGCAACGAGAAAATGTGGACAGCACAATGGAGAGGGTGAGAGACGAACTTCCTGTTGGGAAGACAGTGGAAGCCAAGGCAAGTGAGACCAGGAAACACAAACCCAGAGAGAAACTCTTCCCAGGCTCACCACTTTTCAAGAAGTGGGGTGAGGATCTTTCTGAGGCCCAGCAAAGAAAGGCCCAGGACCTTTTCCAGAAGTTTGGTTACAATGTTTACCTTAGTGACCAGCTGCCCCTGGACCGTTCCATCCCAGACACGCGCCATTCCAGGTAGGATGGGCCAAGGTTGGGCTTCCCAGGGACCTCACTTTAATTTGGGGGTGAACTTTGGGAGCAGTGACAAGTCAAGGATTGAAGAAGTTGGGGGAGTAGGAAATTGATGGGGAAAGGTTCTGGGCATAGAAAGTTCTGGCAGGCTGACTAAGCAGACTTCTTGTTGTTGTTTTGTTTTATTTTATTTTATTTTATTTTATTTTTATTTTTATTTTTTTTATCCTCACCCGAGGACATTTTTCCATTTTTTGTTCAGATAGAGCAGGAGGGAGAGAGAGGAAGAGAGAGAGAGAGAAACATCGACGTGAAGGGACACATCGAGTGGCTGCCACCCGCACGACCAACTAGGGCCGGGGACAAACTGCAACCGAGGTACATGCCCTTAGCGGGAACCGAACCCGGGTCTCTCGGGACCGCAGGCCGAAGCTCTAACCGCTGAGCCAAACCGGCCAGGGCTATTTTATTTTATTTTTTAATTACAATTTACATTATATGTTATTTCGTATTAGTTTCAGGTGCACAAGATAACAGTTAGACAATCATGTATTTTATAAAGTGATCGCTCTGATATTTCCAGTATCCACCTGAGACTACACACAGTTATTATAGTATTATTGAATATATTTCTTATGCTGTACTTTACATCCACTCGACTATTTCTAACTGCCAATTTGTACTTAATCCCTTCACTATTTCCCTTCTGGCAACCGTCATTCTGTTATCTGTATCTATGAGTTTATTACTGATATTTCCAGTATCCACCTGAGACTACACACAGTTATTACAGTATTATTGACTATATTTCTTATGCTGTACTTTACATCCACACGACTATTTCTAACTGCCAATTTGTACTTAATCCCTTCACTATTTCCCTTCTGGCAACTGTCATTCTGTTATCTGTATCTATGAGTTTATTACTGTTTTGTTTGTTTATTTATTTTGTTCTTTAGATTCCACATCTAAGTGAAATCACGTGGTATTTGTCTTTCTCTGACTGACTGATTTCACTTAGCATAATACCCTCTAGGTCTATCCATGCTGTCACAAATGGTAAGAGTTAATTATTTTTCATGGCTGAGTAACATTCTGTTGTATATACGTACCACCTCTTTTTTATCCATTTGTCTCTTGATGGGCTATTTGGTTGATTCCATGTCATGGCTATTGTAAATAACACTGCAATGAACATAAGACTACACATAGTCTTTCAAATTGGCATTTTGGGTTTCTTCAGATACATACCCAGAAGTGGAATCGCTGAGTCATAATTTATAAAATTGTTCAACCCTAGTTTACATTCAATACCATTCCGCACCAGTTTCAGATGTATAGCAAAGTGGCCAGAAAACCATATACCCTACAGAGTGGTCTCTCACTGCCCCAAGCGCCCACCTGGCCCCATACCTCGCTATCATGACCTTATTGACTATATGCTTCATGCTGTGATCCGCATCTCTGGCTATTCTGCAACTATCAATTTGTACTGCTTAATCCCTTTATTGTGGTTTTAATTTGCATTTCTCTGATGATTAGTGATGTTGAACATCTTTTCATATGTACATTGGCCATATGTATGCCTTCTTTGGAGAAGTGTCTATTCAGGTCCTCTGCGTGTTTTTTTTAAATAGGATTGTTTTCTTGGTTGAGTTGCGTGAGTTCTTTATAAATTTTGGATATTAACCCCTTATCAGATGTATCATTGGTGAATATGTCCTCCCATTCAGTAGGTTGTCATTTTGTTTTATTGATGGTTTCTTTTGCTCTGCAATTTTTTTTTTTTTAGTTTGATGTAGTCCCATTTGTTCATTTTTTTCTTTTGTTTTCCTTGCCTGAGATATATCAGGAAAAATATTGCTGGGAGAAATGTCAGAGATCTTTTTTTTTTTTTAATCCTCACCCAAGGACATTTTTGCATTTATTTTCAGATAAGAGAAGAAGAGAAAGAGAGAAACATTGATGTGAGAGAGACACATCAACTGGCCTCCATCCGCATAACCCCAACCAGGACCAAGGACAAACTGCAACAGAAGTATGTTCCCTTAGCAGGAACTGAATCCAGGTCTCTCAGGTCCACAGGCCGACACTCTAACCGCTGAGCCAAACTGGCCAGGGTGAAATGTTAGAGATTTTGCTGCCTATATTTTTTTCTAGGATTTTTATGGTTTAGTGTCTTACATTTGTCTTTAATCCATTTTGAGTCTATTCTTGTATATGGTGCAATAAGGTGGTCTAGTTTCATTTTTTTGCTTGTATCTGTCCAATTTTCTCAACACCATTTATTGAATAGATTGTCTTTACCCCATTTTATATTCTTGCCTTCTTTGTCAAATATTAATTGAATGTGTAGGCATGCATTTATTTTTGGGTGCTCTATTCTGTTCCATTGATCTACATGTCTGTTTTAGGTTTTCAGAGGATAAGTTTTGCACTTCTTTTGTTAAATATATTCCTAAGTATGTATCTGTTTCATGCTATTGGAAGTGGAATTATTTTCTTATGTTCATTGCAAGTCACAACTGATTTTTGTACATTGATCTTGTATGCTGCAACTTTGCTGTAATTGTTTTTAGTGTGTATTTTAGGAGTTTGTACATATAAGATTGTCATCTGCAAATAGAGTGAGTTGTACCTTTTCCATTCCAACATGATGACTTTTATTTCATTTTCTTACCTAATTGCTTCACTAGGGCCTTCAGTACAATGTTGATTAGAAGTGGTGAGAGAAGATACCTTGTTTTGTTTCTCATTATAGCGTGAAAGCATTTATTATTTCATTATTAGATATGATGTTAGCTGTGGGCTTTGTAGACGGCCTTTGTCAGAAATTTTATTTTATTTTTAGTTTGTTTAATGTTTTTGTTTTTTTTTTCCTCACCCGAGGATATTTTTCCATTTTTTGTACAGATAGAGTGGGAGGGAGAGAGAGAGAGAAACATCGATGTGAAGGGACACATCGAGTGGCTGCCACCCGCACGACCAACCAGGGCCGGGGACAAACTGCAACCGAAGTATGTGCCCTTAGCGGGAACTGAACCCGGGTCTCTCCGGACCGCAGGCCGACACTCTAACCGCTGAGCCAAACTGGCCAGGGCTGTTTAATGTTTTCTTTTTATCATAAACAAATGTTAACATTTGTAAAATGATTTTTCTGTGTCTATTGAAATGATCACATGTTTTTGTCCATTATCTATTCATATGGTATATTACATAAATTGATATTAGGACGTCAAACAAATCTCAGTTTCTTGGCATACATTCCATTTGATCATGCCTTGGATGGCGTGGCTCAGTTGGTTGCGGTGTCACACCGAAAGGTCATGGGTTCAGTTCCCCATCAGGGGGGCACATACCCAGTCGGTATGCATACATGCATATAAGTTCTGTGGTGTATCTCTTCACTGCCCCCCACCCCCTCTTCTGCCTAGTTAGACTTATGCCAATGAAAGATAGGAAGTTTGCTTGTATACAATTCTATTTACTCTTCTTCCTTTTGCTCTCATTGTTACACACACACATATATATGGTACAAACCTAAAAATATGCAGTTTTAATTACTTTATATAATTTTATGCCTAGAGATGAGGAAAAAAGAGGGAAAGTATGAGTTTTTATATTTATCTTTTTCTTTACCCTGATTCCCTGCACTTGTTCCTGTGTCATTTCTTTATTTTAATGTAACCCTGCTCCCATCCACCTCTTTTGTGTTATTATTGTCAAGTCTATTAAATTACTATATGTTATAGGTCAACAATACAGTTATATATACTTTTTAAAAATACAATTACTTTAATTTATTTATTTTTATTATTATTATTTTTTTATCCTCATCCAAAGACATTTTTTCATTTTCTTGTTCAGATAGAGTGGGAGGAAGAGAGAGGAAAAGAGAGAGAGAAACATCGACGTGAAAGGGACACATCAAGTGGCTGCCACCCGCACGACCAACCAGGGTCGGGGACAAACTGCAACTGAGGCATGCACCCTTAGCGGGAACCAAACCCAGGTCTCTGGACCGCAGGCCGATGCTCTAACTGCTGAGCCAAACTGGCCAGGGCAAAAAATACAATTACTTTAAAAATCAGTTAAGAAAATAAAGAAGAAATAAGCGTTTATATTGTCTTTGTAATTACCCACTTTACTGGTGGTCTTTGTTTTGTGTGTGTTTGGATTACTGTCTGAGAGTCCTTGCTTTCGGCCCAAAGAACTTAGTATTTCTTGTACGGTGGGTCTGCTATCAACACATTCTCTCAGTGTTTGTATACCTGCCAGTGTCTTTATTTCACCTTCATATTTGAAAGATTTTAGATAAAAGATGCTTGGTTGATGTTTTTCTTTCAATACTTTCAAATGTCATCTCAGTGCGTTCTGGCCTTATTGTTTCTGGTGCGATGTCAACTGGTAATATTTTTGGAGTTCCCTTGTAAGTGGTGAGTAATTTACTTGTTTCTTTTAAGATTTTCTTTTTATCTTTGGCTTTCAGCATTTGGACTATGAGATATACATCTAGGTGTGTATCTGTACCATTATTGTACATGGGGTTGACTGAGCTTCCTGGATGTGCCTAGAAGTTTTTGAGTATAAATATATTCTGCAGTTTCATCTGTCCTGCCACCACTAGTTGACTGGTAGTGACAGCCTGGAGTATTGTGGTGGGAAGGTTTGAGACCATGTGGTCCGAGGCATGAGCGCCACGTCAGTCCGCGATGCCTGCCATTGTGCACGGGAGAAAGAGAGCACCTGTCTCATTATTTGCTATTCTTACCAGGAGGCAGTCTGGAGTTTTCTAGCCAAGCACCAGTAAGGTATTCGGCCCTGTGGGCCCTCTACATCACCCTTAGAAAGAAGACAAAATGTGCACGATACAAACCCTTCTGTTCTCTCCCCCCAAAGAAAAGGTATCCTGGACCAAAAATCATCCTTTTTTTTTCTTTTGTTAATAGTTCCCTTGACTCATTCTTCTTCCTAGACAAACCTTCCTGAAAGGTTCAAGTTGGTAGTGTGATGTGTGGGCATGCTAAATAGCAATCTTAGGCAGTGAATAAAGAAAAATTGGACTTATTTAAAGAAAAGGGGGTGGGGAGTGGGGATATCCAAGGGGAAGGGCTACGCATCACCAAGCCATGGAGTATTGGGTCCATGTTGGCAGCCCCTAGGAGCTGGAGTCTCATCCTTAAATGCAGGGAAGCTTTTGTTGTCGGTGGGTTTTGGGGGTCTTGGTTGGTGGGTTTGGGCAGAGGGCTGGGTCTACAGGAATGCAGATGTGCGATCTGGTGCTTCTTTGGCAGTTTTGGTTACTTATATGGTTTGATTCCAGGTGTCTAGAATTTCTTGACTGGCCAGTTCTGGTCTTTATTCTCCTGGAGCGGGGGAGCTTACAGCATGGCCATTAGGAATTATATTGCTGTGTAAGTCCTAACACTTCCATTTTCCACAACCCCTTGGAGTGCCCTTATAGTTGCTGGATGGGATACTGCCCAGTACATACATTTCTTAATTAAAGCTGTAGAGTTGGCGGTTTGGTGGATGAACAAAATGGAACCTTGAGGTATGCATTCTTGCCAAGGATCAAAGCATGCATGTGCATAGATGAGGAATGCATGATGGGCTGGAATGCTGCCCTGAAAGCACCCAATGGGCTCATTGCCCAAGCGTGAATATATTTGTTATGTATGTCCTGTATTTGTAATGTATCTCCGCTGAAAATAGTGGGAGACAGCTGAAACAGGAAGTGTGCTGGGCTTGGCTGTACTGGTGAGCAGAGGTGTGGTCTCAAGGACTTAATTACCTAAAACACCATGTAACCTAGGGAACCACTTTGCAAATAAGTTGGGCTATATCCAGAGATATGGGGCATTTGCTCCCTTGTGATGCTCCCCTCACTCCAAGCACTGTCTGCTTGCAGTGCGTCGTGTTGCGACAAGCAGGCCCAGAGTGGGCAAAAGCCAGTAGTTAGATCTCAAATTTGCTCAGTTGAATTTTTTTCTTTTTAACAAACATATAGAAAAAACATAAGTATTTATAGTGTCTGGTGCTATTTTCAGTTTCAGGCATCTACTAGGGGGTCTTGGAAAGTATTCCTGGTGGGTAACAAAAAACTACTGTAGTCTCCAGGTTGATCTATAATTCCTATCAAAATACCAGCTGGATTTTGGGTAAAAATTGACAAGCTGGTCCCAAAATTTGAATTAAAATGCAAGCAATCCTAAATAGCCAAAACATCTTGAAAAATAAGAAAAAATGTTACAGGACTTATATTTTCCCAATTTTGAAACTTTCTACAAAGCTACAGTAAATAAGACAAGGTGTTACTGGTTCAGGATAGACATACAGATCAGTGGAATACGATTAAACTCTTACACTTATGGTCAACTGATTCTTCACAAGGGTGTTGTGATTTTGTAATTTATAATAAGAAATGTAGATTTGGTCTTCACCTCTGTTCCTGGCACAGAGCTTCTAAAATTCTTGGAATGTCTTAAGTGAGATGAGAGGTAAAGGTGTCTTTTGTTATTCACAACAGGCTCTTTTCAACCTTACTGGAGTTTATGTTAATGAGGTGACTTTTGAAAGCCCTTAAAGATATGGGCTTGTTGCCAGGCTAAGTAACCTTGTGATTAGAGGACTGGAACATTCAGTTCTTCTCCCTTCAGGGAGGGGAGAGGGGCCAGGAGCTAGACTTTGTCACTAATGGCCAATGATTTAATCAATTATGCCTACATGATGAAGCCTCCATAAAAATCCGTGAGCTCCAAGGCTCAGCGAGCGTTTGGACTGGTGAACAAGAACACATAGCCACGCCAGCTGTGTGCTGCACCCCAAGTCCACAGGGACAGAAGCTCCTGTGCTCGGGACCCTCCAGGACCTTAGCCTGCGTATCTGTATGGCTGTTCATTCATATCTTTTAATATCCTTTGTAATAAACTAATAATCTAGTAGAGGAACTGGTTTCCTGAATTCTGCAAACCCCTCTACAAATTAATCTAACCGAAGCAGGGGGTCATGGGAATTTATAACCAGTAGATCAGAAGCACAAGCCACAACCGGGACTTGTGATTGTCCTCTGGAGTGGGTTGGGGAGTTTTGGGGGCCTGAACCCTGAACCTCTGGGAGCTGATGTTAACTTCAAGTAGACAGTGTCAGAACTGAGTTAAATTGTAGGACACCTGGTTGATGTTGCAGAATTCTTTGATATGGGAAAACCCCACACACATCTGGTCACCAAAGCTTTCAATGTGAGTAGAGAGACAGAAACAAACAGCAGAATTTTTATTCTTTGCAGGTGCCAAGACAATTCATTGGGGGAATTAATGGTTTCTTCAACAAACATTATTGGGACAACTGGGGATTTATATACAAAAAAGATGACATTGGACTCCTATATCATGCATACAGAAATATTAACTAAAAAATGGTCATACATGTAAATGTAAGGGATAACACTATAAAACTTGGAAGAAAACATAAGAGAAAATCTTGATCATGGGTCAGACAATGGTTTTTAGATATGACACCAAAAGTGTAAGTGATTTTAAAAGATGATTGAAAAGTTGAACTTCATCAAAGCTGACATTTTTTTTGCCATAAATAATATAATCAAGAAAGTAAACTAACAACTCAGCGTAGAATATTTGCAAGCCATAGATCCAATAAGGTACTTGGATCTAGAATACATAAATAACTACTATAATTTGATAATGAAAAGATAAATACCAAATTACTTTTTTGGACATTGCTCCAAAAAAGATATATAAATGGCTGAGAAACAATGAAAAGATGCTCAACATCGTTAGTTATGAGGAAAATGTAAATCAAAACCACAGTGAGACAGTTATCAAAATGACAGAAAATGGCAAGTGTTGTTCAAGATAGGAAGAGATTTGAACCCTCATTCATTACTGATAGTAATGTCAAATGGTACAAGCACTTTGGAAAATAGTGTGGCAGATCATCACATTGTTTGTAAACCAAAATTAATTTTAGACTGTAATAAAACATGGAAGACATTCATTTGCGCCAAAAGGAATTGCAGCCCAGTGGACACGTGTAGGTAGCAACCTAAATTGTATTCCACCTAGACAAGGGGGAAGTGTCCTTTATAGCAGAAGTTTTTAATTTTATGTAAATGAGGTATCCAAACCGTGCAGTTCTGATTGGACAGGGAAGGTCTCTGTCTGTTGGTGGAAAGATGAAACCAGAATTTCCTTCCCTGTAGTGGTTGACTCAGATGGTGTAAACAAGCAGGCATAGTGTGGGAGCTGAGAGTTCAGTCTGAGATTCTTCACAGTGTACAGAGTATGCATCAAGTCCCTGTCAGCAAATGGCCATTAAGCTCTTATTATTCATAACATTTGGGTCTGTAGTTGACCATGGACAGTTCATCTTAGCAAGTTCTTCTTAGGATTCACATCAAATGAATCTTCCTTTTCAGGTCCACCCATTAAACATAGAGTTATCATAAGATTTAGCAATTGCACTCTTTAGTGTGTATGTAAGTGAATTAAAAACATGTCAACCCAAAAAAACATGTTCAAGAATGTTCATAATGGTATTATTAGCTCCAAAGTGGAAACATCCCAAATGTCCAGTAACTGATGAATGGATAAGCATGTAGCATAGTCATGCAATGGAATATTATTAGACAATAAAAAGCAATGAAGTACTGCTGTGTGCTGTAAAACTGATGAACCTGGAAAATATTATGCCAAGTGAAAGAAGCCAGTCACAAAAGACCACATATTGTATGTTTCCATTTATATGGAAAGTCCAGAATAGGCAATTCTGCAGAAACAGAAAATGAATCCACTTATCAGTGGTTGCCCATGGCTGAGGTGCGTGGGAATAGAATGGGTTTTGGGAGAAAAGGAGAATGACTGATAATGGGTATGGGATTTCTTTATAGTTTGATGAAAATGTTCTAAAATTAGATGGTGGTGATGGTTGGTCAACTCTGAATATTGTAAAGAACACTGAATTGTACACTTTTCAATGAGTGAATTTTATCACATGTAAAATGTATCCAATAAAAATGTTTAAAAAAAAGAAGAGTAAGTCATTGCCTAGCATATGGTAAGCATTTAATAAATGTAAATTATGACATTTTAAAAAATGTGTCAAGCACTGTTGTTTGGCCAGTTTGCTATCTCTCGAGAGTATTGAAGTTGAGGGTTGTGTCAAGAATGACTGACGGTCTGAGAACTTAGGGAAAGGGTGGTGGCCATCACAGGAAGAAGGCCTCTGGCAAGGAAGCTAATTTGGGGATGGAGGAGAAATAGGAATTCCATTTGGGGCACGTTGAACGTTCAAGTGGAAATGTCTACTGAAGATTAATCAACAAGAAATTAAATTTATTCTCAATTCAGGAGAGTTTGGGATAAATAAATATAAAATCTTCTCGCTACTGTGACAAGCAAGAGAGAATTTTTCTTTCTATAGTGAGCTTAGGGAGATGGTGAGTTAATTGATATAATAACATTGTATGTAGTGAAGCAATAGATTGTATACTCATGTTTAAGTAAATTAAAAAGTAAACTGGTTATAAAAAATGGTCTCTCATAGGTGTCTTCAGAAGACATATTCTTCACAACTTCCATCCCTCAGTGTTATTCTCATATTCATGGATGAAGCTCTGTCCATTATACAACGAGCCATCACCAGTATCATCAACCGGACTCCCCCTCGATTGTTGAAGGAGATCATCTTAGTGGACGATTTTAGCTCAAATGGTGAGCATTTGATCAAGGAATAATAATAAAAATGACCATTTATTAAGTGTGGTTGGCTGGAAAGGGGCTTTAGCTTAGTGTTTAGGACACTTTGGGCCCCTCAGATTGGGAGAAGAAAAAGATCATTTATTGATCCCTATTTGCACTGGGCTCATTAATCTTCACAAAGTCAAGACAGAGGATCATTATCTCAATTACACACATGAGGAAATGAAGACAGAGAGAACACATAGTGTGCCCAAATGGCACGGCCAGGCAGTGGTGGAGCTGAGCCAGGCCCAGGATTGTGTGACTCCAATGCCACCTGTGCCCTGTCCATGCCCCAGGAGAGAGGCCTGAGGGATGAGGTGGAGTCCAAAGGAGGATCTCAGACACCACGACTGGATCAAAATCATTCCTTATGGGGGGAAGAACAGTCTTCCTAGGCAGTGAAGCCCAGAGAAAAGAGGAGCTTGGGGTGCTGAGACTTTTTAAAGTGGCAATGTCTTTATTCACAGCATGCCCCCTCCCCATCCTGGCCTAACACCCCCAGGGAGGGCACCCGGAGAACTGAAGATAGTGGGTAAACCTGAGTCCTCACTCTCTGGGGTTTCAGAATCCAAGTTCCTCCTCTACGTCCTTGAGTAACTTAACTTCTCCATGCTCCAGTTTTCTTATTTCAAAACATGGATGTTCATAAGAATAGCTATCTCATAGACTGTAAGGAGAATTAACTGAGATAATAATGGGAGCTAACATTGTTTGTTCTAAGCACCTTACATATGTTCACTGTTGTAAGCATTACAAAAATCCTGTGGGGAGGAGCTACTTTGCTCAATTCACAAATGCAAAAAACTAAGGCATAGTCTGCTCATGGAACTTACTCAACATACAACTGGTAAATGACAGAATGAGCTTTGGCCATATGGTCAAATGAGCTTTGACCATAAACTTTAATTTCTGCAGCCCTAGCTCTTGCCACTGTGTTGATTGATTTAATATATAAATTATGAATAGCATTTAGCACTTAGTAACCTCTCAACAAGTGTTAGCTCTTAGTTTTATTAATTTGGGGCATCAAATAAAAAAACAAACAAAACTAGAGTTAAGTCACAAAACCAGAGATTTGGGCTAGCAATAAGGAGAACATTTTTTATAGTAAGGGCTATGAAATGACAGCCCATGGGAGGTACTTAAAGATCCTCAAAAAAGGATCTTTAATTACCAGACAGGTTATTGCAGCTTCAAATGAGGGGCAGTTTGACCCAAGGAGAAGAGACAAATGACCTCTTAAACCTTCGTTTTTGGATTGCCAGACACTAAAAATACTTCTTTTCATGCTTTAAATATCATCCTCTCTTGTCCTTCCAATAAAACTGCATAAAAAAAATGAGAAGGTACAGTTCCTAAGCAAAAATCCACCAAAAACCAAAGAAAAGAGAATGGCTGACTCCATTCATTTCTGGGAATGGAGATAAATATCAATATCAAGATCAATTGCATACCTGGTTTTCCATCAAGAAATGGGAGCTTAATTAGAAAGACCCCTGTTCTGGATACCTGACAAGACCTGGCTCCGCTCCCTGGCTCTCAGAGATGACCTGAGGCCTCTCCTCCCTGGGACTCTGCTTCTTTATGGGGCAAATGCAGGGGCTGAGCTGGAGGACCTCTGAAGGTATCTTTTTCTATGAAAAGAAAAAATAATCAATGATTCCAGAAGTCTACATTTCATGAGGAGCAAATAAGAAATGATTCAAGACTTTTTCATGTGGAACAATGAAACCAAAGATATGATTACAAACATAGGGTAGACACATTGCAAAGCCCCTCGATTGTTCATTGCTATGCTCCCATCATATAGCACATCCCTCACACTTGGGTTGGGAACTCACTGTGTTTCCCATACAGGGAAATTGTTTGGATGGGTACAGAAGAGGGAATTTATTCAATCTTTGACTGTTGTCACTGGGACAGGAATCAACTTCTGTCTCATTAACCATGGAAACATCAGCCAGATTGGGCCTGCACAAACATAACTCAAAATCTGCTTTGTGTTAAACTGAGATAAATAATGGGGAGTCTCTACCATATATGTCACAAGAGAAACTTACTATTCATGTGACTTTGGGGGTAAGTCACTCAGCTACTTTATGTTCCCATCTCCTCATCTGTAATGTGAAAGAAGTAATAGTGCCTATCTGATAGGACCTTTCTGGGGATTAAATAATACATGTAATATTCTCAGAACAGGGCTTGCTCCCAATAAATGTTAGCTAGTGTTATGACTCCTTGCTTATATCAGTATCATCTGTAATACTGTTGAAATGCCACCACCTGGTTTTAGAGGTGCTCCCTTCCTTTCCCCCCCTAGATGTAAAGCTTAATTTGCATCAGGTCAAATGTTTCAAGTGTCAACAGAGCTAATCTAAGTTTTTCAGAAATTATATCAATGTAGGTGGGACCCTGTATTCTCTCCCCAATTTTAGGCAAATTCCAAAACCAACAACTATTTTTTGAGTTTCTACCATGTGCCAGGCATTATGCATGGGAGAGAACGACAGTGATTTGAAGACGTTCTCATTTTAGTTGATGAGGCAAGACAAACCTATGGAAAGATACCTCAATGTATAAAAAGTTGTGTGTCGAACTGAGAGAGCTGTCAGTGAGTGCAAGAAAGCCCAGAGAAATAGTTGGGACAACCTAAGGCGGCTTCCTGGAGGAGGGGGCCTTGGGTTGGGACTTAAAAACTTGGTAGGATTTGAAAAGGCAAAGAAAACAAAGGAAGATTGAGTGTGATGGGGGAAGATAGGGAAGGGAGAAAAAAAGATGTGAGCAAAGATGCAGAAGCCAGAAACATCCTGAGCTGACCAGCCTGAAATAAAAGATTTTTCTGCGGGGTAGGGTAGGGAGGGTGGCATGGGAGGAGAACCAATCGGAGAGCAAGACTGAGAAGGGAGTATAGGTTTACTTTAGAAGATCCATTGAAGGGTCTTTAATTCTTATGTTGGACTATAGAGGGTGACTCAGAGTCTACAATTCATAGAATTTTGGAGTTGGAAGGATACTGACATGTTATCCAGCCTTCTCTAAGTTTTGGAAACAGATCTTTAAATGGGGAGTGACACGGAATTAGATAGTGAGGGGGCCCAAGTTATAGTCTAGGTATCCAGGGTCTGTGGCAACCCTGTCTTCCCTTCCCCTTCCCCTTCCCCCTCCCCCTCCCCTCCCCCTCCCCTTCCCCTTCCCTCCCTCCCTCCCTCCCTTCTTCCCTCCCTTTCTCCTCCCTCCCCCTCCCTCCCTCCCTCCCTCCCTCCCTCCCTCCCACCCTTCTTTCTTTCCTTCTTTCTTTCTTATTAAGGAGATCAGTGTTTATTGATTACTTGATTGATTGACTCCTTTCTTATATCCAAATAACTTTTACAATATTAATTACATCTTTAGCAAAAAAAAATAGCTTTGTCAAATTCTTTTCTTTCTTCCCCTCCCCCACTATTTTGGTTCCCAAGTTTGATTGAAGAACTCATACAAAATATTCCAGATAAATGAGTTTTGCTCCTCACCTTTCTCCCCTTCTTCATCCTGGTTTATCTGGAACTAATGTAATTCCTAACTCTTCACTAAGTGCAAGCCATCTCATAGACTAGTTTTCAAATATCTTTTCGTGAGGTATTTCGAATATCTTGAGAAAAGGAATCCCAGAAACTGTGGTAATCTTGTTCTTGCTCCTTTCAACAGTTGTAACTCCTCCATTGAGGACCCCAGCTTTTCTAGTCACTTTTTCTTTCTTGAGAAATTGCTCAAACTTGGCAGAGGTCACGACTCCATCTTCCACAGGGTCCGTGCAGTGGAAGGTGAACTCCGGAAGCTGCGTCTTTGTTTTTTTGCCCTGGGGCAGCAGAAGCAGAAACAAAAAAGTCAGTCCCTTGTGATTACTTTCTCAAGGTAGTGACTGAGTGAGTGAAAGAGTTTCCACCTTCTGTTTCTTTCAGTGGAGCAAACAGCCTTCGGGTCCATTGGTTCTCTTCAACACCTCAGTCACTGAGTCAGTCACCCTGCAGGGCGACAGGGCAAGTTCTAAAATGGGTGAGATTTTGGTACCATAGTCATGTGGGGATTGATTCCAGGTCCTGACCACTCTAGGACTCGCAAATCTGCTCCTCTGAGGAGGGACCCAGAAAGAATCTCATCTCTTGGCCAGTGGGGGTGGAGTAGGGGAGAGGAGATGGAGGGAGGTCTTGATAAACCCAACCAAGTACATACTGTACATAGTTCTTGAGGCAGTGTGGCGTGGTGGTTAGTCAACAAGGGCTTACACCCAGGTGTGCCACGTACTAGATGTGTGACTTACACAAGTTTCTTAACTTCTCTGTGCCTCAGTTTTTCATCTGTAAAGTGGGAATACTGAAGTGCCTTCCTCACAGGATTCTTTGAGAATTGAATGAGTATTATCAGGGAGTCATTTGGTTACTTTAAACTGCTTAGTGATTTGCATGCAGGTTGTTTTCATACATATGAGAAAATCAACTGGTAGGCCTAGCCAGAGGACAAATTCATAGACAGGCTTTATAAGAGAGAGGAGAGAGCGGAAGAAAAAATCTCTAAGCGGTCTGGGAATAATGAGTCTTATTTGCATAATTTGAGGGATATATTCATTTGCTAGAAGTTGGAAAAGAGATTAGTCTGGGCATTCTGTCCCAATTGGTCCTTGAATAGGCCAAGTAGACATAGCTCACACAAGACAAAACAATTTCAGTTGTTTATGTATTCTCTAGAAAATCTGTGAGGGCTGAGGATGGAAGGGAGAGAGAGGTAGGTGCAGGGAACCAGTCAGGGCTGCAGAATTGCTCAACCTAAGCTGGAGGTCATTCAACCACGACTCTGTATAGAACAGGATGAGATTTCTGTACCAAATCAATGATTACACTCAGAGTTGCTATAGGTGTGCCTTTCGTTGGCAGGAGAACTGAAGGCACGCTTGGAGGAGGACATCAAGCTTTACAACCAGAAGCATCCGGGACTACTGAAACTAGTACGGCACAGCGAGAGGAAGGGTCTCGCTCAAGCCCGCAACACTGGCCGGGAAGAGGCCACCGCCGATGTGGTTGCCATCCTGGATGCTCACATCGAAGTGAACGTCGGCTGGTGAGGCTCCAGATTTCTTCTTCTGCCAAAAGGGGAGAAAGGAGATAATGTACATACTGAGTACAAGGTAGGATCATGTGAAAATAGGGAACGCCAACACCAGACCTCAAACAAAGGGAAGCTACAAAGACAGGACGCTTTTACTCGAGGATTTCAGTTGGCCAAGCATAGTATCTAGTGCTGGAGGAAAAACAGCGGGCGTGGCTGATTGACCCTGATCCCAGCCCTGACTTCACCCAATGCTTTGTCACTTTGTATACATCACTTCACGAACTTGATGTTCATGTGCTTATCTGTGAAATGAAGAGACTCTTTCCGTAATTCCTAAGGTTTTTCTCAGTCTGAAATTATAGGACACAGAGAGCTGTGTTCTTTGGAGAATGTGGAGAATCATAGGAAAGTCGTCATTTTGGAAACAGGGGTATCCGGGAGGTAATGTAAATTCAGGCAGAATACTGATGGTCCTGGGTCACGAGTGGCTTGGGGTATTATTTGGGTACTAATTTCAAATATGCCTTTGACATGGGTCAGCTGTGAGCATCCCCAGTTATCCCAAAAGCTGCAGAGCTTTTCTGGATTCTGGAACATTCCTCTCACTACCCAGCAACAGCCTAAAGGAAGAAGGTGCTCAGTGTCCGGGCAAGGTGCGCGGGGCCGCTTTGCTTGCTTCTGCTGCTTCCCTCAGCTCTAACCTGGGTTTGTCACACGCCGTCTTCCAGGGCAGAGCCCATCCTGGCCCGGATTCAGGAAGACCACACGGTGATCGTGTCTCCTGTGTTTGACAACATTCATTTTGACACCTTTGAAGTGGATAAGTACGCGCTGGCGGTTGATGGCTTTAACTGGGAGCTGTGGTGCCGCTATGATTCACTACCAAAGGCCTGGCTTGATCTGGACGATGCCACTGCTCCAGTGCAGTAAGTCCCAGAGGGCGCGGGAACCTGGTCAGCACGTGGGAAGTCAGAGATGAACAGCGTGCGGTGGCAGTGACGGGCAAAGGGCAGCAGGGATGAAGGACAGGGGATAGAGGGGGGAATAAAAAGCTGATCCCGGGTAAGAAATCACAGATGCTTTGGACTATTTAAGGGCTTTCAAGCAAAATAAAGCAAAGTTTATAACGTTTTAGAAAGCTTTTGGGCCATTTTAAGCATTTATCTGGCTATGAAGTAGGTATACCAAGATGACAAAAGATGTACTTTTATGTTGTGCTTTTTTTTTTTTTTTTTATCCTCACCCGAGGACATTTTTACTTTTATCTTCAGATGGGGCAGGAGGGAGAGAGGGAGAAAAAGAGAGAGAGAAACATCAATGTGAGATAGACACATCGAGTGGCTGCCACCCACATGATCTCAACCAGGGCCGGGGACAAACTGCAACCGAGGTACGTGCCCTTAGCGGAAACCGAACCTGGGACTCTCTGGACCGTGGACCAACGCTCTAACCGCTGAGCCAAATCGACCAGGGCAAAAGATGCACGTTTAATGGAACTTGAAGGGTTATGACACACAGGGGTGAGGAGAGACTGCACACACGTGGTCCAGCTGGAGGGTTAGGGATGCCTACAGGAGAGGAGGCTTGGGTAGAGTTTCGAAGGCTAAACCATCAATGCGCCACTTACTGTTCCCCTGTCCCCAACCCATTCATTATCCAGAGGTTAGTAACTCTTGCTTTGTGCTCCACAGGAGTCCTTCCATCATGGGCATCCTGGCTGCCAATAGGCAATTCCTGGGGAAGATCGGATCTCTGGACGGTGGGATGCTGGTCTATGGAGGAGAGAATGTGGAACTTAGCCTGAGGGTGAGTCCATTACCATTCTTCTTATGGTACAAAGCAGAGGGAAGTAATAGAAGGGTTGAAGTATCTTTGGAATCCTGGGACAAAGCTGAATGTCATTGGCTCAAGAGGTGGACGAATCCTCATGTTTCTAGGTCACTAGAGAGAGGCAATAGGACTTCTGGAGTGGAGAATTTTTTGTGTGGGTTTATATGATCTGGGACATGCGGGTGGGAAGGGGTAGAACTGAGGCTCAGCAGATGGTGTCCCTATTGCCCTTGAAGAATCCAGGCATTTTCCCAGCACCTCCTAGAATAAAGCAGCTTTGTGGCAGACAGCTTTCTATAAGACCAAAGAGAAGCTGGGCAGAGGGTCCAGGGAATACAGATGTGTGGGCAGCGAAATTGCTCCTGAATGGACGCTGAGAACAGCTCACGTGGAGGCCTAAGGTCATGCTGAGATGTAGTCTCATCCAGGACAAATAGCCAGTAATGGGTTTTACAGCAATAAAATCCTCAAACCAGTTTGAGTTCTGACCAGCTTCCTGTGCACTGGCTTCTCATTTCAGCAATGATGCCTCTTCTCTGCCTCTGACAGCCTCTCATGCTTTCTCAGGTCAAATGAACATCCTGAATCATTGTGCTTTATAAGGGAATTCAGGGTACAAGCGAAGACAATTGGAGATATTTCTTTTTTTTTTTTTAATCCTCACCCGAGGACATTTTCCCTTTTTTTTTTGTTCAGGTAGAGTGGGAGGGAGAGAGAGGAACAGAGAGAGAGAGAGAAACATCAATGTGAAAGGAACACATCGAGTGGCTGCCACCCGCATGACCGACCAGGGCCGGGGACAAACTGCAACCGAGGTACGCGCCCTTAGCGGGAACCGAACCCGGGTCTCTCAGGACCGCAGGTCGACGCTCTAACCACTGAGCCAAACCGGCCAGAGCACAATTGGAGATATTTCAAGTGCAAGTTCATATTACATCAGTGTATCAGTTAGCTATTGCCACAGAAGATTCTATGTAACCAGCCACCCCAAACTCAGTGACTTACAACAACAATAATTTATTTTCAGAGATCTGCAGGGGCAACGGGGCTTTGATGGCATGATCACTCTTGAGGTCTCGGTTGGGAACCAGTACATTATTTTTAATGCCTTATCCAGTTTGTCAAAGTACATCCTGTGGCCAAGGCCAATGTCAAGGGTGGGGAGTATCTTCTGTCTACAATGAAGCCACGAAGAACTGGGGCCAATAAGTCCAACCCATCATGATCAATTTGGAACAGGTTTCATGCATAGAATATCCCTTCCACAGTATTGTTTTTCCTCTTATGTAAAATCTACAGGCCTTCGTTAAAAGGTCCTGACCCTTGGATCTGTGACTGTTCTTGTTAGTTTACCCCTCTTTCATTTTCCAGCCTAAGGCTGCACTTTTAAAAGGGGCTGCACAATGATAGAGAAAACTACACAGTTATTCGAGTCCAAAAATTAAGACCAAATTCTACTTTTCCACTACAAAGTTTGTGTTGTCCTGGGCAACATACAAGTTCTCTAAGCCATGCATGATGACCGACTCATGGCTTACACTCAACAAATAGTTAATAATAAAAATAATAATAAGGATGTCAGGATGATGTTGTAAAAATTGCTGGCCCTAGGTTCTAATCCTGGCTCTGCAGACTCGCTGTGGACTGGGCTTCTATTAACTGGCTCCCCCTGCCAACTCCAAAGTTCTGTGCCTCAGACCAGGTGACCTCGGGTCCATTGTGGCTTCTGGAGGAAGAGGATGATTTCCTGTCTGAAGCTTATTCCGGTCTACTCCCTTCAGTTTCTATCCAGTCGAGACTGATAACCACACATTGCATCCACTTAGGAGCCAACCAGGACCCCACATTTATATGTTAACAAAGAAGCCTTGAGTCCCCATCTGGGTTGGCCATTAAGCCACAACCATTCTTTGGCAGAGAGAACTCCTTTCTTTGCCTGGGGGTCTTGATCCGTTTTTCCACTTGTGAAATGAAGAGAAGTGTCCTTGTTTTCACCACCTCATAAGAAGGATTGTGCGGTTAAAACGTAATAAATAGTTTGAAATGATTTATTAAGATATGCATTAGAATTCTTGTTTGGCTTCTGGGACAGAGGCCAAAATAACAGAGGTTTAAATAAGATAGAAATTAATTTCTCTCTTCCATAACCGTTTGAACGTACGTAGCTCAGGACTGAGGTGGCAGCTCCAGGGGGATGGGGATCAGGACTCTCCCATCCTGTGGTGGTGCCACACTCAACATCACACCGTAATCCAGTTAGGAGGGAGAGAGAGGAGGGAAAGAGAGAGTGTGCTGTTTTGTTTTTGTTTAAAGGGCTCTACCTGCAAGTTGTGTATATCATATTTCATTGGCCACTGCTAGTCACATGGCCACACCTATGTGCAAAAGAGGCTGGGAAATGTAGATTTCAGCTAGTTGGTTACATGCCCAGTTATTCCCTTTCTGACTATAGATGTGCAGGGGTGGGGTGGGGGTGGGGGGTGGAGGATAGAAATTGAGAGAACAGTTAGTCTCTAGCACAAAAAATATAAATGCAGAAATAATTATTTTATGTATAATGCTTAGCAAAGTTCTGAAGATAACCCTAGCTACACTGTGGCTGGGGTGTTCCTACCTACCAGAGCGTCCCATGAATTTGGCTGGAACCCCAGATCCCTGACTTATAACCCAAAGCCCTTCTTCCCATTTCCTTATTCTTTTCTCTACTCCCCTTTTCTGCATCTGAGCTGCCTCTGTTGCCTGTCCCACATGAAACTGAAACTCTGCCATTTCATTTTCCACAAGAAGTCCTCTTTCTTTTAACATTTGGTGATAGTTTAAAATAAATTTTGCTGGGAAAGTAGGGAGTATCAATTAAGGGACATTTTTTTTTTTACCATTCTTGAATAAAGCGGTTTACCCACATGCAGATTCCTTGGTTTATGTGCGTGGCCATTGGCCTTTTAAGACCCCTAAGCACTTGTTAGGATCTGTCTTTCTCCAATAACACACCTCAGAGAACATCAGAGCTGCATGGAGTGTGTATTCTGACACCTAGAGGCCACAGCAGCGATGCTGTGCATGGGTGTGCATAGGTGAGGGTGGGGCACTGAGGCTGATGGGCCCGAAAGGAAAACCCGCATTTGTCAAGCACCTTGAATGTTCTTGGCGCTGTGCCAGAGGCTAACACGTGCACTGCAGAATCTCAGTCTGGTCTGTCATTTACTAGCCAGGAAACATGGGCAAGGTACGTAAGTGGGGATAATAATGCCTACATGGTGAGGGTTAAGTTTATGAAAAATATTAGGATAGTATGTGGCACAAAGCATGCCGTTACTATTATAAGTAGAAACTTCATGTCTCTGTAAGTGGGTCAGGGAGAGAGAGAGAGAGAGAGAGACAGACACAGAGAGAGAGAGAGAGAGAGAGAGAGAGAGAGAGAGAGACAGAGAGAGATTTGGGCAAGTGGAATAAATTGAGAGTAAAATTTGAAGTGTTGGTCAAGAATAATAGTTCATATTACTTCAAAATGACTATTATGACTTTTATCTCTTCGCTTGAATTTAAGGTTTCTTGTGGCAACCATTATTTTTTCTCTCTTAAATTCCTGGGGTTTTGGCCGGGTCAATGTGGCTCAGTGGATTGAGCACCGTCCCATGGACTGAGAGATCCTGGTTCGATTCCCGGTCAGGGCATATGCCCGTGTTGTGGGCTCGATCCCCAGTGTGGGGCATACAGGAGGCAGCCAATTGATATTTCTCTTTCACATGAATGTTTCTATTTCTCCCTTCCTCTCTCTCTCTCTAAAAAAAAAATCAATATAAACATATAAAAAAAAAAATCCCTGTGGTTTTGCAAAACTCCTCCAACTAGAAAAATTGAAGTTGTGTTTGGATTTTTAAATGTTTGGCTACAGAAAATCAAATCTGAAAACAAATGAGCTGTAACCCCCACATGTTCTGGGAACGAATGGGGAGACATGCAGGGGGATAATGGGAGAGGCAGAGGTGCTTCCCATTCATGATCCCGGACGCAGCTGTCCCCTGAGTGCCTGTTCTGTCATCAAGTCCACCTGACAACCGTGATGGAGGGTTGCTCATTGCCCCCAGTTATCAGGTGTGCAGTGATAGATTTGAACACAGGTTCAGTCTGACTTCCAAACTTGGCTTTTTTTCAAGAGGCAAGGGAAGGGAATCTGTGGGTTCGGCAGCTGAGGAAGGGATGAAAAACAATGAGTCAGATGAGGGGACTGGCCCCCAGGTGGGTGAGTGAACTAGTTGCTCACCCCTGTCTGAGGGGCTCCGCAGGCATGAGTGCAGTAGGGTGCTAACCACTGCCAAACAGGCTAATTATCTCCCGAAACTGCAACTCCCTTGGGCAACCATGAAGAGAAGACACTGGACATGGCATCAATCTCATAGCAGTAGATAGTTGACCACCTGCTGGGAGGAAGACCATATTTTTAAGCCAACTATTAGAATGTATGGTCTGGCAGATAGGTTTGTACCCATCAGGATGACAAGAAAAGGCAATTATAATTTATATAATTATAAATTATCTCTTGGTTTCTCTTGGTCAAGAATTACCTGTATTCGTTATCTATTGCTGTGTAACATTATCACAAACGCAGTGGCTTAAAGCAGGGCAATTTACTATCTCACAGTTACTGTGGGTGAGGAGTCTGTGCCTGGCTTAGCTGAGTTCTCTGCAAGGTTGCAGTCAAGGTGTTGGCCAGGGCTGGGTGCTCATCTAGGACTGACTGAAGAAGGATCTGCTCCGAGGCTCATGTTGGTGTTGGCAGCATTGAGTTCCTGAAGTCTTCCAGACAGAGGAGGCATTCAGGTTTGGCTGGCTCTCGGTCGGAAGCCACCCTTAGTGCCTTGCTCTCCGTTTGGAGGCTTACAACATGCTCCTTCAAAGCCAGCAAGAGAGTGCCTCTCCTAGCAAGAGACGCGGCGATCCTATAGAATGTAATCACACGTGTAATCATGCACATACTATCACCTTTGCCATATTCTGCTGGTTAGGAGATCACAGGCCCACACTCAAGGGGAGGGGAGTAGGGAAGGGTGTGAAGAGGAGGAGGCAGGGATCATGGGGGCCACCTGTGAGTCTGTCCAGCACATTGCCTTATAGTTGACATGCAGGACAAAGGGGGGTTGTGGAGAGCTAACTCCAGTGGGGTTAGCTCAGAGCATGGCGCCGCTCAGGACACGGGCACTTTCCTAGGGGATAAATGAGCAGGGACAGACCTTTCTTTGTTTTGTTCAGGAGGACTTCCTGAAGGGAGTAGGATTTCTGGAACTGTCTGAAGGACAGGAAAAAAGAAGTTTGGTAAATTTCTAAGAAAGATTGTTTTAGATAAGTGGGTTGGGAGCAACAGTGATGGGAGTGGGAGGACCGAATTTCCCTTCTTTTAAAATGGCTCCAAAATATTGGTTTCTGTGTATCTTATTGGCCATGGGGCGAAGCCTGTCCCTGTGATTTCCCCCCTCCTCTCACAGGTGTGGCAGTGTGGAGGGAGAATCGAGGTCTTGCCCTGCACCCGGATTGCTCACCTAGAGAGACACCACAAGCCCTATGCCTTGGATCTGTCTCCTGCCTTGAAGCGCAATGCTCTCAGAGTGGCTGAAATCTGGATGGATGAATACAAAGACATGGTCTACTTTGCCTGGAACATACCCCTCCAGGTTTGTCATGGCATTGAATAGAAGCAGGGGAGAACAGAGAGGAGGAGGTGGTGGTCCTGGTGGGAAACGGGAAGGGATGCAGCAAAATGCCTTCCCAACCCTAAAGAATAAGAGTAAAGTGTGATGATGATGACAACATTTATGTAGCAATACTATGTTCCAGCCTCATTAATCATCACAACGTACTTATGGGGTAGGTTTTATTTTTAATTTTATGTATTTTTAAAATTTTCAATTACAGTTGACATTGAATATTGTATTAATTTCAGGTGTATATCATAGTGCTTAGGCATTTATATAACTTATCTAGTGTTCCCTGGGATAAGTCTAGCACCCGCCTGGCACTATACACAGTGATTACAGTATTAGTGACTGTATTCCCTATGCTGTACTTTACATCCCTGTGACTACTTTGTAACTGCTAATTTTTATTTCTTAATCTCTTCACCTTTTTCACCCAGCCCTTAAAATCCTCCTCGCATCTGGCAACCATCAGTTTGTTCTCTGTATCTATGAGTTTATTTCTGTTTTATTTATTTTGTTTTTTAGGTGTAACATATAAGTGAAATCATATATTTGCCTTTCTCTATCAGACTTATTTTACTTAACATAATACCCTCTATGTCCATTCATGTTGTTAAAAATGGCAAGATTTTATTCTTGTTTGTGGCTAAGTAATATTCCATTGTGTGTGTGTGTGTGTGTGTGTGTGTACACTCATACACACCACATATTCTTTATCCATTCACCTATTGATAGACACTTAAGTTGCTTTCATGCTATGGCTGTCGCAAATAATGCCGCAGTGAACATAGGGGTGCTTATATCTTTTCAAACTAGTGTTTTGGATTTCTTTAAATAAAACCCAGAGGTGGAGTTGCTAGGTCATTTGGTAATTCTATTTTTAATTTTTTTAAAAGTTCTCATCAGAGGACATGTTTCTATTGATTTGAGAGGGGGGTGGGGGGGGGGGGGAAGAGAGAGAAACATTAATCAATTGCCTTCCATATATGCCCCAAATTGGGATCGGACCTGCAACCTGGGTATGTGCCCTGACTAGGAATCAAACTTGCGATCTTTTGATACATGGGACAATGCTCCAACCAACTGAGCCACACCAGCCAGGGCTCTATTTTTAAATTTTTTTTTTTTTTTTTAATGAACGTCCAGACTGTTTTTTATAGTAGCTAAACCAATTTACAAAACCAACAGTGCATGAGGGTTCCCTTTCTCCACATTCTTGCCAGTACTTGTTTGTTGGTTTATTGATGATAGCCATTCTGACAGATGTGAGGTCATATCTCACTGTGGTTTTAATTTTCATTTCTCTGAGGATTAGTGATGTTGAGCATCTTTTTCTATGTCTATTGGCCATCTGTACATCCACTTTGGAAAAGTGTCTCTTCACATCCTCTGCTCATTTTTAATTGGGTTGTATGAGGGTTTTTTGGTGTTAAATTGTATGAGTTCCTTACATATTTTGGATTTAAATCCTTATTGGATCATTAGCAAATATCTTCTTCCATTTAGTAGCTTGTCTTTTCATTTTGTTGATGGGTTCCTTCACTGTGCAAAAACTCTTTAGTTTGATATAGTCCAATTTGTTTATTTTTCTTTTGTTTCCTTTGCCTGAGGAGACATATAAAAAAAAATTACTAACAGTGATGTCAAAGAGCTTAGTGCCTATGTTTTCTTCTAGAATTTTTATGGTTTTCAGTCTTACATGGAAGTCTTTAACCCATTTTGAATTTATTCTTCTATATTCTTTTGCATGTCTGTCCAGTTTTTTCAACACTATTGAAGATACTGTCTTCACCCGATTGTATATTCTTGCCTCCTTTGTCATGGATTAATTGACCATATAGGCATGGGTTTATTTCTGGGTTCCCTTTTCTGTTTCATTGATCTATGTATCTGTTTTTTTGATACCATGTCATTTTGATTACTACACCTTACAGTATAGTTTGATATCAGGTAATATGATTCCTCCAGCTTTGTTCTTTCTCAAGATTGCTTTTGCTATTTGAGGTCTTTGGGGGTTCCATATGAATTCTGGGATTATTTATTCTAGTTCTGTGAAGGATTCTGTTGGTATTTTGATAGAGATTTATTAAATCTGTGGGGTTAATGATGTTGATTCTTCCTATCTATAAGCATGGTATATTCTTCTATCTATTTGTGTCTTTTCAATGTCTTACAGTTTTCCAAGTACAGGTTTTTTTTTACATCCTTGGTTAAATGTATTTATAGATATTTTATTTTTATTGATACAATTGTAAATGGGATTGTTTTCTTAACTTCTCTTTCTGAGAGTCTGTTATTGATGTATAAAAATGCAACTAGTTTCTGAATATTAATTTTGTATCCTATCACTTTAGTGAATTCATTTATCAGTTCTAATAGTTTTTTGGTGGAGTCTTTAGGGTTTTTTATATACAGTATCATGTCGTTTGAAAATGATGACCATTTTATTCTTCCTTTCAAATTTTAATGTCTTTTATTTGTTTTCTTTAAAAAATTTTTAAAAAATATATTTTATTTTTTTAAAGAAAGAGGAAGGGAGAGAGTGACAGAACCATTGATGTGAGAAGAAAACATCGATCGCTGCCTCCTGCACACCCCTCACTGTGGATCATGCCCGCAACCCGGGCATGTGCCCTGACCTGGAGTCAAACTGGGACCTCTCAGTCCATGGGACAACGCTCAATCCACTGAGCCACACCAGCTGGGCCTTTTATTTATTTTTCTTATCTGATTGTTGTGGCTAGGACTTCCAATACTATTTTGAATCAAACTGGTGAGAGTGTACATCCTTGTCTTATTCCTGATCTTAAGAAAAATGCTTTTAGTTTTTCTCAGTTGAGTATGATGTCAATTGTGAGTTTGTCATAGATAGCCTGTATTATGTTGAGTTATATTTTATTTATTCCCATTTTTTCATAGATGGGTAATGGATTTTGTCAAATGCTTTTTCTATATCTATTGATATAATTATGTGATTTTTATCCTTTATTTTGTTTATGTGGTATGTCACATTAATATCACATTAATATATCACATGATATATGTTAATATATCATAATACTGAATCAATCTTGCATCCTGGGAATAAATCCCACTTGATCATGATGTATAATCTTTTTAATGTATTGCTGAATTTAGTTTACTAATATTTTGTTGAGAGTTTTACTATGTTCATCAAGGATATTGGCCTATACTTTTTTTATAGTGTATTTGTCTGGTTTTGGAATTAGAGTAATGCTGGCCTCAAAATGAGCTTGTGGACCTTCTCTTGTCTTGAATTTTTTGAAGTAATTTGAGAAGGATAGGTGTTAATTCTTCTTTGAATGTTTGGTAAAATTTACTGGTGATGCCATCTGGTTCAGGACTTTTGTTTGTTGAAAGTTTTTTTTAATTACTGATTGGTTGTTTTGATTTTCTCTTTCTTCTTGATTAAATCTTGGAAGATTGTATATTTCTAGGAATTTACCCATTTTTTCCAGGTTGTCCAATTTGGTGGCATATAATTATTTGGTAGGATTTTTTTTTTTAAACTCCTTTCTGTTTCTGTGGTATCAGTTGTCACTTTTCTTTCATTTCTGATTTTATTTATTTGAGTCCTCTCTTTTTTTTTTTTCTTGATGAGTCTGGTTAAAAGTTTATTAATTTCATTTATCTTTACAAAGAACAAGCTCTTGGTTTTATTAATTTTTTTGTTTGTTTTTATAGACTTTATTTTATCTATTTCTGCTGTGATCTTTGTTTTATTTCCTTGCTTCTATTCACTTTAGGTTTTGTCTGTTCCTTTTCTAGTTTGTTTAGTTGTAAGGTTAGATAGTTTATTTAATATTTTTCTTATTTATTGAGGTAGGCTTGTATTGCTGTGAATTTCCATTTTGGAACTGCTTTGGCTGTGCCCCATATTTTGAGGTCATTGTGCTTCCATTTTCATTTGTCTCAAGGTATCTTTTGGTATCTTGGTCTTGTTAGCCCATTCATTTGTTAGCAGCACGTTATTTGTGTATTTTTCAGTTTTCTTCTTGTAATTGATTTCTAGTTTCATACCATTGTGATCAGATGTTTGATATGATTTCAATCTTCTTAAATTTGAGACATTTTATGTCCTAACACTTGGTCTGTCCTGGGAAATGTTCTGTGTGTGCTTGAAAAGAGTGTATATATTTCCTGATTGGTGTTTTTGGATTCTTAGGATGTATTCCCAGAACACCAATCAGAAAGATTATATGCACCCCTATGTTCATAGCAGCATTATTTATAATAGCTAAGATCTGCTAACAGCCCAAGTGCCCATCAGTAGAGGAGTGGATAAAAAAGCTGTGGTACATTTACACAGTGGAATACCATGTGGCTGTACACAAGAAGGAGCTCTTACCCTTTGCTGATAACATGGATGGACATGGAGATTATTATGCAAAGCAAAATAAGCCAGTTAAAGAAAAACAAATATCACATAATCTCAGTTATATGTTGGAATCTAATGAACAAAATACACTGACAAACAAAATAGGTCCAGAGGCAAAGATGATTAAAACAGAATAACAGATCTCAGAGCAGAGGGGGATACAGAGGATGGAAGAGATTAACCAGATAACATATACGCACATATGCAGAGCCCATTGACACAGATAATAGTGTGGGGAAGGCCTGGGGTATGGTGCAGGCTGGGTGAGGGGGGCAAAGAGGGAGTAAATGGGGGGACATCTGTAACACCGTCAACAATACATTTTTAAAAAATTACAAGAAATATTTGGGAAATGAGGGAAAAAAAGAATATATTCTGCTGATTTGGAGTGAAATGTTTTATACCAATTAATCCATTTTGTCTAATGTGCTATTTAAGGCTGGTGTTTCCTTGCTGATCTTTTTTTTTTTTTAGTCTGGATAATCTATTCATTGAATGGGAGTATTAAAATCCCATTATTACAGTATTACTGTCGTTCTCTCCCTTTATGTCAATATTTTCTTTACATTTACAAAGG